TTTTTAGTTTCCAGAGAAGAGCAATCTTTTAAATTACAGTTCTGTTCCTTCCCATTGGTGTATGGGCTGAGCACAATGGAGGCTACTCAGGCAAATCTTCCTGCATGTTGATGGACCTGTGTGTGTGTGTGTACACTGTACATTGACCAGAGCCAGAAGGGAATGGGATGAACTGTGTTTTCTGGATTTCCTATGGTTCTATCTACCCCATTGAACATTTATATCCCTAAAGGGAAGAATCAAATCATAGAATAATAGCACTGGAAGGGACCTTGAGAGGTCATCTAGTCCAGTCCCCTGCACTCAAGCAGGACTAAGTATTATCTAGACCATCCCTGACAGGTGTTTGTCCAACCTGCTCTTAAAAATCCCCACTGATGGAGATTCCACAACCTCCCTAGGCAATTTATTCCAGTGCTTAAAACCACTCTCCCAGTTAGGAGGTTTTTCCTAATGTCTCTTCTTCCAAGAGAAGAAATGACCCTTAGACATTAGAGTTGTAAAAGACCTACCAATCATTGCTTGAGTCATTTAAAACTGGGCAGCGCAGAGCACAGGTGAGAATATAAAGTACGGAAAAATCATACATTGGAGGCGAGAATCTAGCAGGTCTATTTCATCTCCATCCTCTGTGATTCCCCACCCCCACTGGAGCAGAAGTTCTCCTGTTGGTCTGTTCTCTGATCAAGCCTGCCATCTGGTTGAGTATATAAATGTCCTAAGCAGTCAGGCTTCCATTGTGTCTTTTGGGAAACCCACCCCGCCATCAAATGAGACCTTGCTGGGAGTGGACACATTTACACATTGCAGTAAAACCCATCTAAATTGGTGCTCCCCATGTTGATAGCTTTCATGGAGAGGCCGTGGATTCTGTGGCTCAGAGAGGCTGAGTGGGGACCCCATCTAGAGGTGGTCCCCCATGTCAGGTTTGGGGTATGGCGTGAGACTGGGTTGGGATGTCTGCACTGACACGCCGAACGCTGCACACTCCTGGACTCAATTTTCCCCTGTGCCCGAATTCCACCTCCCTGTTGCCTCTAACTTAGCACAACCTCTACTGAAGAATTGGTTGAGCTCCCTCTCCCACCACATCCCTACAATGTGTGGTGCTGGGGAAGGAGTCATGTTTGGCTTTATGCCAGTAAGGTGTTTGTCAGCCAGGGGAATTCTCCACGGGTCATTTGTGGCCAGAGTTTGCACCGTGTGAGTGGCTCCATGTGACCCGGT